GTATCTGCTCGTTTGGCTGTCTATTTATCTGTCTGTCTGTCTGTTTGTCTACCGGTCTGTATCTGTCTGTCTGTCTGTATCTGTCTGTCTGTATCTGTCTGTCTGCCTGTCTGTCTGCCTGTCTGTCTGTATCTGTCTGTCTGCTTGTCTGTCTGCCTGTCTGTATCTGTCTGTCTGTCTGTCTGCCTGTCTGTATCTGTCTGTCTGTCTGTCTGTATCTGTCTGTCTGCCTGTCTGTATCTGTCTGTCTGTCTCTCTATATGTCCGTCTATCTGTCTATCTATCCATCTGTCTGCCTGTCTGCATCTGCTCGTCTGTCTGTCTATTTATCTGTCTGTCTGTCTGTCTAGCTGTCTGTCTCTCTGTCTATCTATCTGTCTGTATCTGTTCGTCTGTCTGTCTATTTATCTGTCTGTCTGTCTGTCTGTCTGTCTGGGTTAGGGTCTGTCTTCTACCATACCACAGTATTTTACACAAAAACAACTAGATATCACTGGTAATACTGTAGTGTATATGTTATTCATAGTTATTCATGGTCCATAGTTATTCATGGTCCATAGTTATTCATAGTTATTCATGGTCCATAGGTATTCATGGTCCATAGTTATTCATAGTTATCCATGGTCCATAGTTATTCTTCTGACTTTCTATGTTTTGACTCACAGTTGAATGTTACATAAAGACACCAATGTTAATGTCTGTTGAGTCTAAAGGAAAATGTGTATGTTTTGTGCAGGATTGATGTAGCCTCCTGTTCGCCCAGATTATCTGTGTTTGTGTCTCAGGAATCTGCAGTGTATACAAGAGCTTGGTTTATGTGCTTTATAAATGGCATCTCTAAACACTAACTAAATATGGAGATGGTCAGAGAATGGTATCTTGATTAGATATCGTACAGACAGAGGGGTATAATACATTATCACTGGGGTAAGAGTGTTAATGTTGTGTGGGGACAAAGTCATTCATCAGATGTAAAACCAAATTCCAGTTTGTGACCTGGTGTCAGTGTGTGTTTCTTTGGTTGCTTTCACCCACTTGCACTTTAGAGCAGCCACGTTGTAACTTACGTTTGAACTTATTTTAAATCTTTTTGAAGAGGTTTTGTCCCGGCTCTTTCCATTACACTGGTCCCTGGTCGTGTCTGTTTGGTCCTGTATGTTTCTCAGGAACAGACATGTAACTGGGAGCATGTGATAGAAACCAGATCCATAGGTTTAGTTACACTTTGATCATAACATTTCACCATGTCTTTAACGATAAGCAGACCAAGCAGGACACACGGACATATCCTGCATTCCTCTGATAGCTTTGGTTTGTTCATGTGAGTACGAGAAATAAAGACATTTGTGAGGTATTTAGAAGAAGAGCAAACAACAGCAGATGGGCAGCTCTTGAGCCTCCTCATATGTTCCTGAGGCCACGCTCACCTCTCGTCACGCTGATGAGACTTGTAGCTTCTCTTCACTCCACACTGGACCATGACAGGGTCCTGACCCTTTGACTCTGTCAACAGGGATTCAGAGCTTCAGTTACAGCCTCTTCTGCCACAGAACCTCCATAAACTCAAGGGTCCAGGTCTGTAAAATACAGTAACTGAAGTCTTCACACTCATCTGACCTAAACAAACAGCGTCCCAATCCAACAGTTATCTCTGAGAAATGCTTTTTCTGAAAGAAATGTCAAGTCAGTGCAGACAGAAACGTAAACGTGCTTCATGTGACATCACCTCTTGGCACTGAACACTTCCATTGTGATTAGAGCAGATCATATTCTGGCTCCGTCATGAACTGTAACAATAGTGACAGAAACACTGTTCAAACGATGTTTCTCTTGAGGAGGAAATGTACACTTTCCCCAAAGGTTTTGGTGGTACATTAATCAAGGGTTGGCATGTGTGCAAAACTCACTGGCATCAACATCAACACAGAAGAAAAACTGATTTCTGAAGCACGTGCAGATTAAACTAAACTAAAATGCCTCCTCAGTGAAAACGTCCATGTTTTTACAGTTCCCAGACTTTGATCCTTCTGTAAAATACTTTTCATACATACTTTTCATTTCATTCATAGACACTTTACTACAGAACACTGATGCACTTTTAAACTTTTAAACCAATCAGAGAAGTCCCAGGAGAGCTTTTGATATGTCACAACTAGTTATAAACATGTTATAAATACTTTCCAGATTTTAGTCTTTAACATTTATGGCCTGAAAAAACTAAAGCATCAGTCCATGACCCAAAACATTAACCCCTCATGGGACATTCAGTGTGTGTGTGTGTGTATGTGTGCGTGTGTGTATATGTGTGTGTGTTGTGTATATGTGTGTGTGTGTGTGTGTGTGTGTGTGTGTATATAAACGTGTGTGTGTGTGTCCTTCACATAGACCACCACCACTAAGTAACCAGAGGATGTCAGGATCACAGGGTCGTTCGGCTGCTGATTGTGTTCAGTGTTAGCCTCAGTCTTCATGGTTCACAGGTCGAAGCCTTTGGCCAAACTCAAAACATCATCTGCTGAACATTACTAAACGCTTCTTCGCTGACTCCACACTTGCAGCAGCACAACTTGGCAAATAAAGCAGTTCTCACTCAGTCTCTGGTTTGTATAAAATCTTCAATGGGCTCCTGACGAACGGTTCTTGACTTACATTCCACTCAGTAATGTCATCTGTCAAACAACGCAAGAAGTCTTTAATGCACACTCGATTAAAGCAAGTGGCAGAGCTCTGAATATGTGCGTGACCCTCCGGCAAAGTTCCATTGTTTAAGATTTCCTGTGGAAATTTAGAAAGAAACGGAAATGGGTAAATGTAAAGCTAAATATTTTCACATATAGCATATTTTTTGTATTAACCCTCTCCAGGCAGGCGTTGCAGATTTGCAACATCTCATTACTTATTACCTAGTTTCTCCAAATCCATATTTTTGACCCTTTTTTACTCAGAAGAACAACTGCTGGACTCAGTTGAGCTTTAGCAACTGAGTCACCAGGGGGCGCAGCTGTCTCATTTCTAAGCATCAATTTCAAGTCAGTATCACAAGCAACCCAATGTGAAACCAAAACTGCATGAAAGGAAAGATACAGTACATGCCATTTAGTAGATTATATCTGCTCTGGACTTTTCCCCAGGTCAGCTCTAATTACCACAGTAGGCCAACGTTTCAAATCTGCAACATCCCAGAATGCATTGCCTGTGTCATTCAAATTTAAGTGGGCCCTGAGCGTTAATATAATAGATCCATGGCCCTGAGAAGGTTGAGTCTTTCATTCAGACACTTAAAAAGTCCATATAAAACAATAACAAACAGACATAACAAAAAACAGTAAATATACAAACGTGTGTGTGTGTGTGTGTGTGTGTGTGTGTGTGTGTGTGTGTGTGTGTGTGTGTGTGTGTGTGTGTGTGTGCGCGTGTAGGAAACCTTCTTTATCATCATTATCATAATCTTTGCAGTCGATCATTTAGCACATTCGTTATAGAACACACTGATTGTTCTTCATAGTTTTTTGTGCATTTCCATCTGGGACCAAAAGGTAAATTTGCAAACTAACATTTTCCAATTCCAGAACCTGTCTCAAGGCACCAACTTCCTGCCATAATCTTGGAGGTGATTAGGAGAATTACTATAGCAACAACACATCATCAGTAGAAAAACTAATTTGTCCCATCATGGTCTAAACCTGTTAGTGGGTGATAATCTCCTAATCTCTCTTGGTTCAATTCAATTCAATTTTTTTCTGTAAAGCCCTAAATCACATCAGTAGTTATCTTGGAGGAAGAAAGGCACCCGCAAACTGATGAACCCAAAGAGAAAATCTTACGATAAAATGTTACAGCTCCCTATCTTTTACAGCTACTTATCTGTGTGTATTTTTGTTGTGCTCTGTGTGTGCTCTAACAAGACAAGGCAAGTTTATTTGTATTGCACAATTCACATTCAAGTCAATTTAAAGTGCTGAACAAAGCAAGACAGAAACAAAATCACACAAGGCAATAGAGTTGAAGCCTGTCTCACATTTTCAGGAAGACTGTTCCAGACTTTAGCTGGATGTGTACTGCAACAGTGACATGTCCCTGCAGTGAGATGAATACAGGTTCTCTTATCTTTGAATAACCGGCGTGATTTCACATGAACGCACATACATCACATCAATCCGTTTTAAAATGTTTATTTCAGCTTGTACAAACAGCATAGACTTTTCCACTGCAGCTACATACTGAATACTTAGTTTGTTGTGACAGTGAAGAAGATTCAAGAGCAATGCTGCCATCTTGTGGTGATTCTTAAAACAAATTACAGGACACAGACTTTGCAGTCAGGGCTTGTTTAGTCTATTTGAATTTATGATGTGTTTGAGTAGTTGAGTATTCATTACCATTGTTTGGATTAAAGACGCAGTTTTATAGTTTTATATGGGATTTCTTTCCAAAGAGAATGTCCAGACTTTCAGCTGAGATCGTTAAGACAGATGTGTAAATGTCACAACTGTGTCTTTGTAGTGATTCCTTTATTTCTGGGCTTCTGCACGCAGAAACACTGTGATATTTAATACATAATATTTATAGATGAATATGATGAATGTGATAATTATTGATGACCTCAATGAGAATATGACCTGAGAAGAGTGCTTTCCAGGTCAACCAACAGTTCTTTTGTGTTGGCTGAGCCTTGCTTCGATGTTTTATTTCGTAAACATGATTGTTATAAAGACTTTCTGAACGCGACCCGTGTTGTCACAATGATGTTGAAAAGACCGTGGGTCTGTGAACGCAGCAGGTGCGTTCAGGGCTCCGTCAACATCCTACGTCACTAAAGTCCTCCATGTTTGATCCGGAAGTGGGCAGAGACTGAGACCGAGTCGAGCTTAGCGTCGGCGGCCGTCTTTATCTTTATCCGCTCGGTGTTTCTCAAACTCACCTTTACGGTCCGCGGACGTGGATGTTGAGGCTGTAACGTCACCGTAGACGCTCTTCTCCGCAGCTGACCGTGAACAGACATGACTTCTCTCTCGCAGCGGCCCTCGGGCCTGGTCCAGCGGAGGACCGAGGCCATTCGCAGCGCTGCGGCCGAGAAAGACAAGGAGTCCGACGGGGAGGAGGAGGAGGCCCGTCTCGGCGACGAAGAAGAGGACAAGGGGGACTCCAAAGAGACCCGCCTCACCCTGATGGAGGAGGTGCTGCTGCTGGGCCTCAAGGACCGAGAGGTGACTCTGCGGCTGCAGTCTCGCAGTCGTTCGTAAAGCTGCACTACATTAATGCATATTTTAGCCTGAGTCTGGATGGATGCAAACGTCACCTGTGTTTGAACAACGTCTTATTCATCTGTTTTCTTCACCGTTAGCTCAGAGCCAGAGAACTTCAATGTGACCAGTTTTATAGGTTTAACATTACGTTTCCTCCCGTTAACGAGCTACTTTAGATCCACTAAATATGACACACAGAGAACTCTTTACACTGCCATTAGCAGTCTACAGTTGACAAATTGCCAGAAGCAAAGTCCTGTCCAACCTGAAGCCTGGCGGCCTGTGTCCATACACGTCAGCTAAGCTAACACTGCTCTGTTTCATGACTCTCCCTCCAGGGCTACACGTCCTTCTGGAACGACTGTATTTCTTCCGGGCTCAGGGGCTGTATGCTGGTGGAGCTGGCCCTAAGAGGCAGGCTGCAGCTGGAGGCCTGTGGGGTGAGGAGGAAAAGCCTTCTCTCCAGAAAGGTGAGCTGTACATACTATACTTCCAGGAACAGTGTCAATTCTGTCCTGCCTCATGTGAAAGTGTACACCACCTTAATCTGCCAGGACGCCTCTGTACTGTGTCAATGATGGGCTGTGGTATTTATGTTGTTACCAAACCTGTAATCCTGGTTTTGTCTATTGTCTATTGTCTATCATAGGTCATCTTCAAATCAGACGCACCAACCGGAGACGTGCTTCTCGACGAGGCTTTGAAGCACATAAAGGACACTCAGCCTCCAGAGAGCGTGCAGAGCTGGATAGAGTTGCTCAGCGGTGAGATGGCCAAAACGCCGCGCTCTTACGTCACCGATGACTGTTAAGTTTTAATGACTTGTATGTGTCCTGTAGGAGAGACCTGGAATCCTCTTAAGCTGCACTATCAGCTTCGAAACGTGAGAGAACGTCTAGCAAAGAACCTTGTCGAGAAGGGCGTCTTAACCACAGAGAAACAGAATTTTCTTCTTTTCGACATGACGACACACCCTTTGACCAACAGTACAATTAAACAGGTATATACCGAAATTGAGAAATTATTAAATCACAATCAAAAGTCGTATTGAATGAATTATCGGTCACTTATCGGTACAATTATACAGATTGTTACAAAGCAGAAAGACCAAAAAGGTGTAGGCTAAAGCTAATGTTTGTTTTGCCCTCCTTTTTTACGTGTCTTTGGTTTAATGAATGTGTACATTAGGATTTACATAAGAAACTGTATAAACATCAGGATTGTGAGTTCCTGTATCCAACATGATAGTTTTAAACTTCTTATTGACATTGTAAGTAACAGGAAGTCACAAACTAGAAAATTGCTTTGGCTCAAGCGGCAAACAAGGTATAAGAATAAATATTGAAGAAGATTGAAGGCATATACAAACATTCATGAAATGTCTACTCTATACAAGAACACACAATAGACATTTAGCAGTTAAAGTGACAGTAGTATAAGGTGACTGTCGTAAAGGGCCGGGGCGTTCATGAGCCCAATCCAAAACAAACAATATAATTATAAACCACCATGTATTTAATTAATCAAATCGGATAAATACAGATGATACAATAGTAGTTTCTTGATCATTTTTATTTTTCTCACTCTTCGTAACTAACACATAGGAGGCGTTGGTCTAAAGGGAGAAGGCAACCATTGTCTATAAATACACAATAAATACAGATGAGGCAATGGTAGTTTTTTGATCATTTTTTCTCTCTGTACTCTGTAAATATCTATTAGAAAACATAGGCCCACTCCTCAAAATCCCCTGTTTCATGTATTCCTTGTGTCAATTTTAGACCCTAATTTAAGGTATTTTTCTTCTACTTTTAATCACACTGGTGGCTCATTTTGATAAGGTTTGATATAGTTGTCCTCAAGACCATTTTTAAGTCCTTCACGCTGCTAATTCCGTAGCTTAGCGCTGTCCTTTCTGCCTGTAAACTCTGCGTCTTGCTGCCTCTCTCAGCGCCTCGTGAAGAAAGTCCAAGATTCGGTGTTGGAGAAGTGGGTGAACGACCCGCATCGGATGGACAAGCGCGTCCTGGCCCTGATCCTCCTCGCCCACTCCTCCGACGTCCTGGAGAACGCCTTCGCCCCCCTCCAAGACGACCAGTACGACCTGGCCATGAAGAGAGTCCACTCGCTCCTGGAGCTGGAGCCGGAGAAGGAAAGCACCAAGCCCAATGCCAACGAACTCATGTGGGCCGTGGTGGCTGCGTTCACTAAATGAGAAATCGTCGCTTTTTAGTGGACTGGAAGATCAGGAAATATGGTCTCTGTCATATTTAATTGGTTGAAGGACTTTTCATTCAATGAGACAGACTTCACATAATAAGACAATCTATTTTTGGTTGGGGAGCCTGTTTGTACATCTATTCTGGATGATATTAGGGTGGTAGTCCATGCTAACCCAGTGTAATTGATCGATGGTGGTGGGCTACACCAAGTGACGATTGGTTTGTCTCTGAAAAGACCAATGCCGGGCTGCTTTACACTGCGACAGACACAACATCTTTCCACACAGAGACTGGATACGCTTCTAAACATCAAATCAACACTTTCGACTGGTGATCTATTAGACAGAAAAAGGCCTGTTGCAGCAGCGGTAGTGGTCATGGTGAAACATGAAGATTCACACGGGGCCAAGTTTCCCTTTAATAACCGTGGAAACCGTCTCTGCCGACACCTGGGCTCACTGCTTTCCTCTCTCCCAAAGTCTAAGACAGTAAAACGTTACGTGTGCTACTATGTTTGTGCAATTAATCACATTTTTAATCAATTTCGATCATTGCTCTATTCATTTACAAGAATAGGGCCATCGGAAATTACTCATTATTTACCTTCTGTCGAGATTTCTGCGTGTTCTTCCTGGCGACACCTGGAGCGGTGACACATTCTCGCCATAGTCTGTGCAGCTGTTTTTCCATAATTTCATTCCAGTGTGCATCAAGGTTAACGGCGATTTTTATTTTTTATATATATACACGGCTTTACATCTAACCGATCGAATTATTGACGCAAATGTCTTTTTTTTTGGGTGCATTAACATTGAAACCAGTTAAACGCTTAGTTTAAAAACAAGACTTTGAGCCAGATCAGTCTCTCAACGACCAAACGCAAATTCAACGCATTTTTAAAGATTTTAGCCTTTTTTTTTCTTTTTCAAACTTGCAGAATGTTACTTATATTTACCTAATTTAAAAAAAAAAAGTCATGCAAACCAGTTCTTGAGCTTAATTTGTTGACTATTTTGCACAGTAACAATCTTTCTCCAGTCTATGATGTTCTTGGCTCGAAGAGATTATTCATGTATTCAATCTGGAGGAGTGGGTTAGTAAATGTACAGGACACGCACAAGTATTGCAGTTATTTAAACGATTGAAAGACGTCGAACTACAGTAAGGAAAACGCAAAACACTATATTAAGTTACGTTGGTGTCATCGGGCAGTAAAGGCAATTATTTTCAAATTTATGATTCAATGTGTTTTTGCATATCCCTACGTCACAACAGCAGACGTCTGAGTTATGAAGCAAAAGTAACAAACACACAGTTGGTCCATCGGGAGCGGGACGACCAATGACCATAAATGTGCAGAAATGTCCCGGATCATCACTGTCCTCGGTCCCTCCTGCATCGGCAAAGAACGACTCAAAAAAACAGTGGGAAAAATGTGAGACATGTTGATGAGGCCCACATTGAGAAAGGGTATCTGCTCCCATGAACTGACTGAGGCTGCAGATCCAGGACTCGGGCTGTAGATCCAGGACTGAGGCTGGCTAGATCAGATCCTGGACTGAGGCTGTAGATCCAGGACTGAGGCTGTAGATCCAGGACTGAGGCTGCAGATCCTGGACTGAGGCTGTAGATCCAGGACTGAGGCTGTAGTTCCAGGACTCAGGCTGTAGATCCAAGACTGAGGCTGAAGATCCAGGACTGAGGCTGAAGATCCAGGACTGAGGCTGAAGATCCAGGACTGAGGCTGAAGATCCAGGACTGAGGCTGCAGATACAGTACTCGGGCTGTAGATCCCGAGTCCTGTAGGACTGAGACTGCGAGAACAACTTTCCTGTAGCATCCTTTTGCATCGTGAAATAACATTTTTTCTAATTGGCCTGGCTTTCCATTTGCGCTGTCTAGTTGCGTTTTTTTTTTTCTTCTTAATTTTAGCGAGAGAGTTATTTCAATATCGAGGCTTGAGTTACTGTTCCAGAGTTTAGACCGACCCCCAACAGAAGCTGCAAGAACTGGACAACTTCCCCCCCCCTCATCGGCTCCGGGTCGCAACAAAAAAGAAAAAAAAATCCCTCTCATTTGGCTCGACCGCTGAGAGAAACGGAATGACAGCACTCCACAATTTCTAACATAATTAAGTTCTGTATTTTTCTATTAAAACAAAAAAAAAAGGAAACCGTTGTCTGTTTACAACAAGAGGCGTGCATGCTTTTGGTTCAGGGTCGAGGTACAGAGAGCGTATGTAGCGAAAGAGCAGTCTTGTATGTAATATTAGTCATTTTATGTGTACGATCTAAATGAAATTCAATGAAAGGGATCTTCAACTCTATCCTCTATAATTCTGTATGCTTTTATATTATCACAGAAAATAAAGTAAGGATCCTTTAAGTGCCTGAATTCTGCACAGTCGCTGCTGGTGGTGTTTTCTTCTTGTGACTGAACTGTACTTTTTCCAGAAACAAACTCCAAAAGAAAATGATTTGAAATGAACGGAGAATGCGTTTGTGTAAAGTGGATAAAAATGATAGTGATTATTTGATGAGGTCTGTGGCAGTTTTGTCAAAGTTTTGGTTGAAATAGTCGATTTTTCTGTTCAGCCGAAGGGTATCGAAATCTATTTAAAAACTATTCTAGTTTGTGATATTAAAAAGTCTTAATTGCTGTTTTATTGGTTCATTCCGGTTGTTTTAAAGTTGGGATTTTCCGACCAATACTGAGGTCTCGCATGTAGCTTCGTTCAGAAGTGATTCAAAGTTATTACAGAGAACAAGCTCAAAAGTTTTGTTTTAGTTGCACATTTGTCGCTGTTTTCCTCCTTGACCTTTTATGCACAACGTTTTTGGCAGGTTTTAATCGCTGTGGGCAACAAGGTACGTTTTGGTTATAATTTAAAGAAGCGTTTTTATCTTCAAATTGATCAACATTCCAAAAAATGTACTTTTTTACAGTTTTGTCATGGGTCAAACTATCTCTGCCAATGTAGACATTTATACCTTGTGTTAAAACTCAATATTCAGAATCCACTTGTTTGAGATTCTCCATGTTAGTAACGGGTGGGGAAATACACGGTCATCATTCAGCCAACTTCAGCTCCATTCACGCTAAGTACACACTCTCACACTAGGTTTAAAACATTAGTTATTTACTTTCTGTTGATTTGAAGTTAAAAACTACAGCAGTTGTACCTAAATTACTTTTTAAATTGCTCATCCATCCATTTTCTTCCCCTTAATCCATTTCTGGGTCAGGGGGGTGGCAGTCAGAGCTGCACCCAGTACACATGGCACCAGCCCCTCACTGATTCTCCTGCAGGTGGTGAGTCCACAGGAGCTGAGATCTTTCAGTGGGGGCTTTAGGCAAAGTAGGGTTATGTGTCTTGCCCAAGGACACAACGACAGCAGTCATCAGTGGGAGTCGTGAAGTAGGTCTTGCGGTGGGCTCGAACCCACGACCTTCAGGCCCAAAGGCCAATGCTCTACCAACTGAGCTACTGTCGCCCTCTAAATTGCTCATGTTATTATGAAATAGACATTTGTTTTGTGGTTGTGGCAACGTAACATCACATCACAGATAAAAAGAATAGATTAAGATTAAGAGATCCTTTACTCGTTCCACAACGGAGGAATGTTGCAACACAAGTTACACATCAGCAGGAATGAGGAGCGCACAAATACCACATCATACAATATTAAGATATGGCACAACTCTACTTGAGAAATAAAATTGAAACAAGATCTTTGGCGTAATAGACCTCAAAGAATAAACCAGGTTAAACACACAGTATCAGACTTAAAACTACTTTCTGGACGATAAGCTGCACCACATTTGAAAATAAAATAAATGTACTCAGATAGGCCGCACTTGAATATAAGCCGCAGGTTTTCATGCTGAAACGTAGCAGAGACGACTGTTTTAACAGCTCAAAGCAGGATTTAATGACGAGGTGTTTTAACAGTTTGACGTTAGCTTAACCGTTAGCTTCCATCACCTTTGACACCTTTGACAATAAACAAGTGTTCTATGGCTACTAAATCTTTTAGTCAAAATAATAAGTTTGTAAGTCCATTGCCCTGACAACTCACTTACATAAAAACACATACTAGCCGCATTACTACATAAGCCGCAGGGGTCAAAGAACTATAAAACTACTATCAAAAGTAGTGACTTTAAAATACGGTATAATACGGTACAGAAATATATACTTGTACCTTTAATACATGGCAAGCATATTCTTATATGGTGATTTTTTTTATTTATTTTTTATCAAAATGCCCAGAAATCTCCATTGTTAATACAACACATTTACTTAGTTGTATTTATTTTTCTCAGGGGAGGGGGTGAATGATCCGGCTCTAATCTTATCAAGTTGCGGTGACGTATATTACCCCAACGATATCTTTTACTTCATGCTCTTTGCTTGCTATACACTTTCTGTCCAGCCCAAAATCACAACTGCAGTCGCCTCGAGGGACTTTACAAAGTTGCTGATTTGCCTAAAGCAGATTAGATATACAGTCTCTTTGATAAAACCCAATGACATCGGTCTCTCTCTGAAAAAAGTGTCGGTAGTTTACACGGTGGTGATAAACTACTATTGTAGCCACAGCTGCCCTAGGACACAGTGACAGAAGTGAGGCAACGGGTCTGGGCCATCCCCTCTGACCACCACTGACCGTTCATTTACACACCAGACTCATTCTAGAAAATCTTGTGTCTTGCTTAAGGACACAACAGCTACTGGCACATTGTAGCAGCTGCACTGTGACACCTTTTGTTCCCAGAGGTCTCCCATCACAGCACTAACCAGGCCCTGACATGCTTAGCTTCAGAAGATTGACGTGTTCTGGCTTTCACCTGCAGGTATGGCCAGTTTGTTTCTACATCATTATTTTTGGTAAAATTTCATATACTGTACCTCCCAGAGTAGAGCCAGTACCAGCACCACTAGTTACCATAGCAACAGAATGTTTGCTACCAGTTAGCATTTGTTAGCCTT